CAAATATAATCTAATACATCTTTTAATCCCAACAAGTGACATTTCAAAACTTGCCACTACAGTTACTGTATCTCCCTTCACATGAACCATTTGTTCCCACGTTTTAACTTCAGGTGAACCTAACTGACCTGCCTTTGCATGTGTTTGTGATTGGTGCCTGTGTGGGACTGTGGGTATGTGGGAGTGATTAATAAACACATACTTTTGATAGTGTCAGAGTTGTTCAATGGACTTGCTTCTAGCAAAAATTCCTTATGCTTATGGAAAAGGTTTTGTCACTTATATGAACATCAGCAAACATGCCCTTGATGCTTTGAACATTGAGCATATGAATGTCAAAAATGTGATCAGCACAGCCAAGAGATGCAACTCTGCAAGTGTCTAACTGCATAAAAGGAATTACTCCAAACTGTTTCAAGGGACTCACCAGTAAGCAGACATGGGTTCAATTACTTTGAAATGTAATTAATTAAATTACAATTACTTTGATTTTCCTCAATTACAATTACAAATACAATTACACCTTAAATTAAAATGTAATTAATTAAATTACAATTACATTATCAATGTAATTAATTACATTACAAATTACTTTGTTAAAAAAACAAAAACAAAAACAAAACAAATATATTTCTGTATTCCTTTAATCAACAAGATATCGATGTTGGTAAACACTAAATCCAATTCATATTTTTGTCATCAAAAAGCGAAATGCAAAATTAGATTATATCTACAATGTACACTATTTGATCAAATTTGTATTTTGCATATTTCTTTGGGCTTATTATCAAATACACACCTCTATCATCTCTTGTTGCAAAAAACACTTTGTCCATCACTGTTACCTTAGGTGTACTGTATCATGACACCATTACAGGCCTACATTACAATATATAATCAGCTGTCATAATCCACATTAACATACTAAAGGATTTGTCAACTTGGATTTATGGCTTATTACCTTTCATGATTATAAAAATAGGACTACAGTTCAGTAAGATTTTGAATATCATATCCTATGAGAAATAAACAAAGAGGCCATTTTGATAGGAACTTGACTACCGGGTAATAGTACTGTTAATCCCCAATTTCCTCAAATACCAACCTACATTCAGTCATGCGTTACTGATTCCCTTTGTTTCACAAATGTGCAGATGGTGATAGTTACAAAGGCTTAGACATTCAAATCTCTTTCAAAACTTAACACCTGCTAGAGTATATACCGACAACAAGCATCTTATTGAAAAACACTGCTTTGTCCTCCTTATTGTACAGAATATAATTGCAAGGGTTGCCTGATGACCACCAAAATAAAAAAGTGAGATGTAATTTGATGTAATTGAAAAAGTAATTGAAAAATTCAATTACATTGAGATATTAATTAATTAAATTACAATTACAAATTACATTACATTCAATTACAAATTACATTTTAAACATTCAATTACAAATTACATGCAATTACATAGATTTTTTGTAATTAATTACATTCAATTACAATTACAAATTACAATTACCCCTAAATGTCTGGTGACTGACCACTAACTGTACCAAGGACCCACCATTAACTGTATCAAGTGGCTGACCACTAACTGTATTAAGGACTCACCATTAACTGTATCAAGTAACTGACCATTAACTGTACCAAGGACTCACCATTACGCCGCTTTTAGCAATATTCCAGCAACATAACGGCAGGGGACACCAGAAATGGGCTTCACACATTGTACCCATGTGGGGATTCGAACCCGGGTCTTCGACATGACGAGCCAACGCTTTAACCACTAGGCTACCACACGCCCCCCTAACCGCAAGAACAGTTTCAGGTATAAGGGAAAGTTAAGTTTCATCTGGGCTGGTAGGTGTTTCTCACTTTGCTGGCACAAGTGTGTGAGTGAGTGAGTGAAATTGGTTCAACACCACTTGAAACAGTACTTTAGTTACATCACAGAATGTCAAGCTTTATGAGCAAGGATACAGGTAGTGAACCATTTTCATCTCAGCATGGTGCTGACAAGAATTGAGAAACATACCCAGGGCTAATTTGGCATTCAAACTCTCTAGGTTTCATCTGTGAGATGCAAGACTGTCCAGGAAATGGTGGTGCCTTAGACATGTTGGCCACCTGACCCTAGTCTGGCATATGAACCTGCCATGTTAAATGTCAGCACTGGGCAGCGAGCTGATGGGGCCACTGTGGCCTGGAGCTCTTACTTCAGGTTGGAAGCACTAACTGATTAATTTGTTGGTTAAAATACACTACTCAATTTTTGCTAAGCACAACAACTTAGACTAACAATTTTAATTCTTGTCAAATGCTGAGCTGTATAAAATATTACCCATTAGGGCAGTGTGAATGTGTGTAATTTTCCAATATTTGGAATGAGTATTTCAGCAATTCTCAGTGCTAATTGGTCTGTTTTTATGACATCACAGTGGCTTCAGTGCAATATCTCCATAGTGTTGTCATTTGAAGTTTTCTTCACTTCCTTTCTTTAAATTGTCAAAAATTCACATACACAATAATCAACACAAAACTCAGAATTAAGAAGCAATGTATATATCGCTGAGTACAAACCCACCCCACATATTAGGTAACCCCCTTGTATAAACATTCATCAATGAAGCGATGCCTCAGAGCTTACACGGTCCCGAAATTTGTAACAAAAATGTGCATGTGTCCCAATAATTTGTATACGATAGTCAGCCACCCTGAACCTCCAGTACATGGCACAAGTTTGTGTGTTGACACAATGCAACACCAAATTAGCAACAGTAAAAGATTCAGACTTAAGTACGAGAAAGTCGGTCTTTTTCCTGTTATTTTATAGCTGAATACTGATTTTTCTATTTACTAGCTTTAATTTTTTCTAACTATGATTGTGTTTATTCAACAGTCTTCAATATACACCTTCTCCAGCACTTGCCAATAAATGAGTGAGTGAATGAGTATAGTTTTATGCCGCTTTTAGCAATATTCCAGCAATATCACGCCAGTGGACACAGGCAATGGGCCTTACATATTGTACCCATGTTTGGAATCGAACTCGGGTCTCCAGCGTGACAAGCGAACACTTTAACTTTTAGGCTATACCACCGCCCTGCTAATAAATATAAAAAACTGAAGGAACTGATTTAAGGTTCTACGCTCTAGATATCACGTGTAAGGTCACATGGGCAGTTGATTGGGATTGTCTTCAGTTATGAAAATGTAATTTCATTGTATACAGTATTTGCTACTTCACAGTTTATTTCAATACAACAATGTAAATAGATACATATTTATCAAAATGCAGTCATAATATAAATGAATTACAATTTTAAGATCAACTGTTACGACAAATCTGTCCTGAGTGAATGTATGCAGTAAGGTGAGGTCAGGTGAAATTGGGTTTAACATCATGCTTGAGAATATTTTGTTCATATGACGACGTGCATGCGTATGTATGTGTATGTGTAGCTGCTTATACTAGCCCAGACTGAAGCTGGTTTTTATAGTGCTAGCCCACTGAGATACCATGCCGCAGTGAAGCATGAATACCCCACTCAGACACAGTATACTGACTCCGAGCCGACCAGTCCTTGTTGTACCCATTAATGCCGAGCGCCAGACAGAGACCAACAAGTACCATATTTTAACGTCTTTTGGTATGATGCGGTCGGGGGTCGAACCCGCGACCTTCCGCTCTCCGGGTAGACGCTCTAACCACTACACCACGGAGGCGGTCGTATGCAGTAACAATACACTAGTTAATCACTAGGGACAGTTTGTTTCTTTGTAACTAGGGACAGATAATTAATTATTCTTTGATTGTTTTCTTTGTACTGCAGCTAAAAGCGACATTAAAGGGATTTAATCAATTGTGAATACAAGCCTACAAACCAATTAAGTAATAGCAGGATGAAAACAAGCAAGGTATGTACTTTGGCTTTGAAAAAACAAAATTATCTGTCTTGAAATTCAACCTACAGCATGTTTTTCTCAAAATGATCTATAATGTGTTGATTGAAAGGGCCAAAGGACAAAAGGGCCAAAATTGAAAAAGTCAAAGGGCCAAAGAACAGTCAAAAGGGCCAAGGGAAAGTCAAAAGGGCCAAAATTTTAGAAAATAGTAAGATTAGAAGAAATTCAGTACATGTTGCTGCAGTAGTTCTAATCCTAAACATCTCATAGTGTCTCAGTGTTGTTTAAAACATCTCACAGTGGTTAAGTGTATATTTTATGAGTATAATCAATCATACAACTGTTTATTTAATGATTACAAGAGGTATTAACAGAGTCGCTGGTGACAGTTACACTAGTCAGTAATCTAAACAAGATTAACGTTTTAATTAGTGTGATAAGAATCTCATGACTGCTATATAAGACAAACAGTTCAACCAACAATTCACATTGGTAACCATGCATGTAAAGTGTGTCGCTTGTGACAAGACAGTTAGGAAGAGCCAACATGCCCTTGAGTGTGACCGTTGTAAGAGATGGACCCATCGTGGCTGTGACACACATGACCAGAGAGTAATACCTCCATCTTTGCGAGAGCGGGGAGGAACTTCACTTTCTCTGCCATGTCTGCTTAGAGCTCGAGTCTCAGTCCAGTAATTTTACTTTCGAGACTTTACAGTTGAGTTCGAGCAACCTGCAGACATATGTCAGCCAATGTGACTCCGGTGTGGAGTGATGATGTCTGTATTGAACTTTAAAGATGTGTGAATTATGAACATTTGAACTACTTATGATATTTCTGTTATTACTACATATTGATACAAATATAATTAAACATATAAATATATATTAGTTTGTATGCTCTTATTTGAATTTGACCTATGGCCCCTTTGACTTAAATCTATGGCCCTTTTGACTTAAATCTATGGCCCTTTTGACTTTTTCAATTTTGGCCCTTTTGTCCTTTGGCCCTTTTTACTACAACCCTTGATCGATGCATGGAGTTTGATTACTAGCTGAATGCACATAACTAAAGAAAGAACAACAACACATGAAGTAAACACAGGCACTTTATTCTGTACTCCTGTATTCAACACATCAGGCAACAATATCGCAACACAGGAGAAACAACTTCCTTACGAGATAAGCTCACATAGATAACACGTATAGATCACTTACTGATCTAACATTAGCAGTATCTTAAAACCCATCTAGCCGCTCACTTTGATCTTCGAGATACTGACACTTATGCTGAAATGGACCACAGTACATGGATGAAACATACACCACTATCTACTTAGATCTACACTGTTTTATTTCTTTGATGACAGGCTGATGGTGAAACTGACATGTTGATGGCCGGGATGCTTTACCTAAGAGACTGGTATACTAAATGATTACCATTTAAAATGTTACTTTATTGCTAGGATACATTGACAAAGAAAAGTATGTGATTTATAATAGACACAGATTTATCTGATGAAGAGAGAAACTTTCTATTTGTCAGCACAGTGACACCAATTTGACTCTGCAGTCAGTTGGATAAAAGGCATATAACTGAAGAAAAATTGATATGTTTTTGAACTTTTTAAACACGTTTATTAAAACACGCCACAGGTTTGTCGTTGATATTACAGAGCTTGTATAACTTCAGGTGTAAATATCAATAGTGCTAAGTGATATCAACATTTTCCCTGAAACTCTTGAAAAGTTTCAATAACTCATCCAGTACATCCAGCATGTCACTTTAACATGGAAGGAAAGCCCAATGTGATGCAGGTTGGAAATACGTCTCAGCTGAAGGAAACCTATACAACCTGTTTGATGCAGCAGGGTCTTGCGGACCAACTTACTTTTCAAAAGAGTGTAAGATGTACACATGAAAGTTTCAGTAGTATTTGATAAAGATTTTAACTTTTAAAAGATTTTAAAAAATGACTAAATTGGACGTCAGATATGAAGATAAGTATTTAGCTATTTAATACAGAAGACACTATGATCAGACTTAATGCTATCAATTCAAACCAGGCCATTTACCCATACTCTACAATTTCATCTTTTTTTTTCATAAAAAGAACATAATTAGTGGCATACATATTATCCGATGTTGAAGAGTACTTTTAATTAGCAGTATCATAAAAATGCATTTGGTCAATGTGAATGGAGTCTTTCAAATGTATTTTCAGTCATAGTGATCAATATCACAAAACTACTGCAGTACCAAGTTTGGTAGTCATTCACAAACAGCAATGATAACAGATACTGACTACATGTGACATACTTCTAAATCTAACATCAGAAAACTTCACAAGGAGCATGTAGGTCATCTTTTTATTCTGAAGTTCATGCATTTACAGTTCTGGCAGATAATTGTACTTTTTTTGTAATTTCAACATACCAGCTAACAAGTACAGCTCTCAAGAGCATGTGGAACTATGAATGCAGGAAAAGGGGTCTCTTGATGGGAGAATAAAAAGATGAACTACGTCTCTCAAACCTGTGAAACTCGTCGTAACAGAAACATTGCTCAGATCACATGGTGCTCAAGTGTACACAGAAATGGCAACAATATCTTCTTTAACCATATGTACAAACAATATTCTTTCCATGCTATACATTACCAATATTTCTCATAAACAATATACAAAAATGGAAATTCATTCTTAGCTGATGAACATTTTGTGGAAAAACATAAAATTGGTGAAAGGAATTACAGGAAAAATATGCAATACAATTTCACATAACAAAAAGAAAAAGAAAATAATTGTTCAAGTCTGCTGTTATGTAATCATTAACACTTATTTAATGTTCAAAACAAATGATGTAACTCATTATTACTACAATATTTACTTGAAAGAATCACTGATGGTCTAATTTCTCTACGATTTCTTCACTCATGATTGAAATAATATTTTATACATTTTGCTTCACATAAAATTAAAGTATATAAATTAATTTCTTAGAGCAAACTCTAATATTACCATATATATTGTGACATTTACATGAAATGATATATACATAATCTTAAATATACAATTTTCACTACATACATATATATGTACATATGTTTGTTTTTTTACCAACTGGTGTTAAAAACATATATAGTTGTGCTTTTTTTCACAGCCTAAACAATTATACAAATCATACTTACAATTTCTGTTCTGAACATGTCATTCGCATTCTTGTGTTATGAACAAGATCTCAGCACATAAGCAGGCAAGAGCACTATGCAAAAAATAATTGTGTGAACAAAAATAACATGTCTTGTACATGGTTCCCGTGGCACCGAACTTTGAACAATATCCAGTGTTTTTGTACCAGTATATACAATATTTACATCATTTACCAACATATATATAGCCTAAAGTTCAGTAACTAAACCTTTCCATTTTTACAACTGTTCATAAAGTTCACTATTGTTCATACAGTTCAAAATTGTTGGAACAATGTTCACACTGTTCACTTCAGGGGAACTTGGGAGTTTAACGGAACAGCTTCAGTGTTCACATCGCTCACAGCGTTCGTTTCACCGTTGGACTTTATGGAAGCTTTTCGCAATTTCGATCGTTCTTCCGTCATACACCTCTCTTCCAAACCAAGGGCTCGGAAACAAGCCCTTCGGATTTTTCGGTCCATAACGCCATATATGATTGGGTTACAGGAATTGGCAACTGCGTACAGTACCGTAATCGCAACATAGAAGTCAGCACTAAATTTAAGTCCTTTATCAATGCTACGGACTATACCATAAGGCAAATAACCAATAATAATCAGAAGAAATACAAGCCCGAACATTTTGGTGATTTGTATCTCACGACGCAGCCATTCTCGTTTCCGACTTGCTCGGAATGCGCTTGACGACTGATGCACTTTGACAAATATGGCAATATAGCACACGATGAGAACAAGTGATGGCAACATCATTAAAACAACAGATACCAACATCGTATAGAGTCCAAAACCTTTTTTCACAATGCAGCGAAGAAGTTTCGGCTGATACTGAGACATGTAGCCAAGGTGTGGTTGGATGAGAAACAAAAGTGGGACTACTCTTGCAGCAACCAAGACGAATATTGTGTATGCCTTTTTGGAGATTTTCTTGTAGAAGGTGTTGAAAACGACGACGATGAGTCGGTGAATGGCTATGAGACCAGTGTGCCATAGTGATGAACCCATGAGGAGGACCGTGAAATGTGTCACCATTTCGCAAACAATGGACCCCGTCGCCCAGGTCATCATGAAGTAAGATACCAACACTAGCAGGTTATTGATGCCCAGGTTAAGTATATCGTTGATACAAAGGCTCACGATGAAAATGTTTGTGATGTTTTTCAGTTCCCGCTCAGTAAGAATCACAATCATCGTAAGAACGTTGGCAAAGACGCCCCACATCAGTGACATCAACATGACAATGGCACCGACCTGCAAGGCTGTAGCAGAGGGTCCAGCCAGACCGGAATCGTTAGTGTAATTGTGATGGAGGGACGAGTTCAGGGAAGAGTTTTCATAAAGAGCGAGAGACATGTTGAAATTGTTTATCACAACTTGCCAAAAGAACCAAATGATCAGCTTAAAGAAACTGATAACCAAACTTCAACAACTTGTATACGGCATCGTTTCTTTCTTCGATTCCACTGTGAAGCATTCCAAGCATGATAATCGCAACAAAAAGTACAAACAAGAAATAAAAAAAGGCTAAATTTCTCTGCTTGACAGAGTTCAAAATGCTTAAGTATCGAAAAAGTATGTTAATCAAGTCACGATTTCCCTTCTCCTACTTTTGAGGATCCACAGAAATGATTACATTGTATCCCAGCTGCAAGGAACGTCTCAACAAGGTGAAGCAGTTTACCACACACTCTGTCAATTAATTCTCAATATGGTGAAAGAAATTCTTTTGTTGCAGGTTGATCACATCCTCTTTGGCCACCACTGAATCACATATGGTCGAGCGTGCACGAAAGGCACTTTCCCAGCTCACACAGGTGTTGATAGCAAGGTAATTTCTGTACTGTGTATGAGCCTGACTTGCCAAGAGTGATTTCCTCGGCAGTTATTTCACGTTCATTACGCCTGCTGTCGATATCGCTTCGCAGCATACCTGTGAGAGAGGGCGGCTGTCATCGTTGAGTTGGTCGTTGTGATGCACACTCTGTGAACAGCAAGAGAAGAAGGTTATTGACTGTATAACCAATGATCACTCATCAATATACTTACGACATTAACCTGTCATTCAAAATCATGATATAAGCTATCCCGTCATTTTGGGGATGGTTGGATTTATAGGAAAATCAATTTAATGAGTGTATAATTCTTGTAAGATGATGAAGTCAAATAGTACTTTTAGGAACGTACATACTTGTATACTGAGCATCTGTGATGAAATCTGATGCAGTATCACAATTCAAGAGTACCATGATTCTTTGAATGTAACAATTGCTACTTAAACAGAATTTTGTCTAGTATGTCAGACATTATAAAAGGTAACTTTCTATGATCATTGCTAAAGGGGAAGGGTTTGGACTAGAATGTTAGGCAGAATAATCACTCAAACTTGAATATACATATTGTGTTAGAGTGACCTTTAAATTCATACTTTAACCAGTTTGGAAGGCCAAACTAATTTTTAAATCAATATATTGACAAAACAGGAAGATGATAACAGAAAAGCTATCAGGAATTAATCTCAACACCTCCACAGATACCTAACAAATGCTGATTTTTTCAACAAAAATTTCAAAGCCTCAGTGAATAAAATAAAGAATTATTGAACAGAAATCATATTCTTCCAAATCGTTCTGTTTCTAATCAGATCTAATCAATAAATAATATTCATAGCATTGTCAATAATTGATGTTGTATAGGTTGTCCTTGACAATTTCACCCACCATAGAACAAACACAACCACTGAGTTCCAATTAAACCATTGCGAGACAGTAGGATAGGTCTTGAAATCATATATACTGAAATATGTATGCAGTCAACTGTTGGTCACAGCTCCAAGTTCAAGGAAATTGATTACTTGAGTTGATGACATTTAACTGATCAATTAAAAGTAAAGTTACCAGTCATGTGAATAATTCTTGGTGCTATTTCAACACAAGTCAAAATGATTAAAGTCAGATATCTATGTTTTGTCTGATTCCACATTTGAAGAAAACAAAGAAATCTGGAAGCAGATGGTCGAAAATGAATGATAACTTATACTTCCTTTTCTTATAACCAACAAACAAAATCTATACCGAAATGCTTCTTGCATATACTATATTGGGTACACATTGATGTCTACTGCACTAAGAGTGAGTGAATATGTTTAAATCTCACAGTACGTTTGTTCCACATAGTGTGTGATATTTTTCATGGTGTAATTAATGCTTCTACTGTTTTTGGGAGCAAAAAATCTGCAACGCCTGGTAAGTTGCTTACAAAGTTCCCAATTAAGGCAAACTCAGGTATTCGAAACCAAGATCAACAGATCCCCACAAAACCAAGGGAAGTTATTCAGCACAACAAATTGTATCTGAGACCACAAGACATCTTTCCCCAGCTCATACTTATGATAAACGTAGGTTATTGGTACTCGAACCAAAAGAAGCACCAGCAAATGCTTTCTATGCACTCAAATATACTATTTCCAAGTGTAACAGAATATTGTCAAACCAGCAACTTCATCACAGTAGCCATGGGACATGTGCAGTCAGGTAAGTGAATACACAGTATGAAAGAAAACATATCAAAAAGTCTTATATATATTGCATTCAGCTTGTATGCATAGTGAGGAAGTGAATGAGTATGGTTTTACGCCAGTTTTAGCAATATCACTGAAGGGGACACCAGAAATGGGATTCACACATTGTACCCATGTAAGAGTCTTCGTCATCACGAGCAAGTGCTTTAACTACTAGGCTATCCCACCACCCCCATTGGTAGCATGGGGCTAACATCACTTTGACCAGTATTTCAGTTCATGATCTCATGGAGCGCCATCTTATTATACAAGGAAACATCGACGAGAGGAATAGAAACCTAAGCTGATCAAATCTTGTTTTTGTAGACATGTATTGAGTGTTTCATTCAGACAATCCATTCTTACATGGTATAGAAATATTGCAGATAGTCATACTTGTATTTGCCAGTGTTGCCATCTCATCAGAGAGTTGTACCAAACCATAACTTTGGCTTACAATTCAGGACTTCAATTTAAGTTTCTGTTGGCTGAATATGTTCTTTTAATGATATTGGAAATAGATTTTCAATGGCCAGACAATGGCAATTTATAAAGCTGATAAAAATCTCTTCCTTATTATCCTAAACCATACATTTAAATGTGAATCTGGCAAAAAAAAAAGATGAATATTTTATTTACACGCACACAGGAGGTAATCTGAGACATACAATCGTCATTGGTGAACAGATAATATAAATATTTTATAGGAATTTAATGTAATGCAATGATAGTTGAGGAAGTGTAATTCAAATTGTGTTTTATATATCGATTTCAGATTAACAAATATCAGAAAACACGCCCACACTTTCAACAGGTCCCTGTGACCATACATGCGAAGTACACAGAGCCAAGTTTTACCTGAATAACATTCTATAAAGGTTAAATGACTTCCGAGTTAACACTTTCAGTTCCCACCTTTACTGTCCTGTTATTGATTATTTGTGAAGAATAAGAATACTCACAATATTGAATTAATGTTTCAAAATATCATAAGTGTGTTTATAATAACTACAATCAGAACATTAATCATCATGCCATATCTTCAGTCTTCAACTGACAAATTGATCTTGGTTATTATATCTTCTTCACATATCAAACAAAAGAGCAACATTTTCTCTTTAAAATGAATACCCACATGATATATAACTACCTTTTAATATGAAATTATTTACAAATTAAATGTCATTCACAAATTAACACCTAGGGTTAATGGCTCAACTGATAATGAGATAGCACCGAGAGACATGTCAAGTTTACTGTCTCCCTTAAGTGACCCTACTTCTTCAAACTCTTGTGCCAGCAGACAAAATAAAGTACTTCATTGCCATGGAAACCACAACCCGACCATGACATTCTCAAATGCCAACTAGACAAAAAGTATGGGGTTCTTTATGAAAGAAGTGCTCGATTGCTTGTTTATTGCTATAATACAAAGCATACACATTAGGCCGGAGACCAGGCAAACACGTCACTGCTGTGTACTGTCATTAACCTTTCGAAAAGAATCGCCGAGGATTACGTCACAAACATAACACGTAAGTTTTAGAGGGACACACAATATGAAAGGACAGTTAAGCTTTATTTCAGCATGGGTCTATCTTCAGTACAAATGTGTCATAGGAAATGCAAAATGTCTCATCGTCATTTAAGAACTATACAATTAAACAGTGGAGTCTGTGCTGGAACTTATGTAAATGTATTTGGTTGTATATATATTCCACATAATCAAGCTGAGGTCTGCTCGCCCCAGACAGACTTAATATTGCTGACTGTGCGATAAACAACATTCATTCACTGAATTCGAGGAGTAACTGACTGCATTATCAATCTCTCTTCAACCCAAATCTGGGTGTATCAATGTACTACTGAGTGAGTGAATGAGTGTGTGAGTTTAATTTTATGCTGCCTTTAGCTATTGTCCAGCAATATCACAGCGGGGAACCCCAGAAATGGGCATCACACAAAGGGGGCGGTGGGGTAGCCTAGTGGTTAAAGCGTCCGGTCGTCACGCCGAAGACCCGGGTTTGATTCCCCACATGGGTACAATGTGTGAAGCCCGTTTCTGTGTCCCCCGCCGTGATATTGCTGGAATATTGCTAAAAGCGCTGTAAAAATAAACTCACTTCACACATTGTACTCATGTGGGCAATCAAACCCAGGTCTTCGTCATGTTGAACAAAAGCTTTAACCTCTAGGCTATCCCACCACCCTAACATACTACTACACTGCTGATTGGTGATAATCATGACATTTGAAAATACATCTGGCATTGTAAGAATCAGTTCTGGGTATAACAGAAGATTAAAGAAAATATCCTTCACAAAACTTGAGAAGGATATTATATAACTAGTGATATGCAGAAATAGCTGAAGATTGGAGAGCCAAAGTGAAAAAAGCCCAAATATCACCAACAATCACTTTATACTGAAGAAAACATAAGTTGACATTAGGCAATTTCAACACAGTTGACATGGTTTTGACAAATGTCCTCTCAATGCAATAATATTCTTATTGCTGAAGTAGCTATACGACATACTTGCTATGATCTGATGTTCAGAGAATTTTACTTCTATTGATTTACTTCCTATATAATCAAAATATGAATATTGGACTTACGATATTCCTACCTGAATACACTCAACAAAGGAATAATATTCCATTATAAGCCACCGGATCACATTCCAATTTCCGGATCATGCTCATTCTACATACACCAAACCCCATGATCATATTCCTCTTATCAAACATGTCTCAGTATATTTCTCCATGCAAGAGCTCGCACAATGATCAAACACTCTCACAGATGAAATCCAAATTGCTGTTAGCACCATTACTGTTATAATCTGATGGGTCTGCGTCTTTCACGGGCTAACAAGACACACAGGCGTCACATTTCAATATGTTTGTCGATAAATAAACCCCGTGACAAGGTCTATCTCAAATCTGATGTTATTGAATACAAGATGGGAGTCACAGGAAGTAAGCTTAATGGACCTTGCAGGAGACCCTCGATCAGCTTCATTCTCTTTGAAATGGACAACTGTCAGAGGCATGTTGATTCCTAAAACACATGGCAGCTATTGATTCAAAGTAAATGATTAGCGTTAATTTCCTGATTGACACTCTCTTTCATTCGGCTACCGTTAACAACCCACATTTCCTGAAAAGCGAGAACAGTTGGATGATATTTTCCAATATGAAATATGAATAAGACATGACACTATTTTTACTTTTGTCCATGCAAGTTTCATGGACGTATTTTTAAATCCATGCATAGCATCAAGGTGATGTATTTTCATTCTAAACAGATACCATATTACACACATGTAACTCCAAGGTTCATAAGATGTTATTGATGACTGCCTATATCTCTTTGTAATGACTGTGTAAAGGTTCTAAATTATTAATGTATTTTTGAATATTAA